GATCATTAATTGAATCATATTTCAAATGATGTTCTGCTTGAGGCATGTTTGCTATTTACTAGCTTTATTTTAGTTCTTTGCTTTTTTGTTGTTTATGTCCCTGTTTCCCTTGTAAAGAACTTAGCTTTCAAACCTCAGAGGGAAGGTAGGGGAAGGTGGAGGTTATGAGGGGAGATCAACCAAAGGACTTGTATGCATGCATACAAGCATAAATAATGAACACAGACACCAGGGACTGAAGGCATGAGCGGGGTGGAGGGAGTGGGCAAGGGGGGGGGGAATAAGAACACATATGTAATACCTTAATCAATAAAGAAAGGAAAAAAGAAAAGAACTGAGCTTTATATGCCTACATGCTTTAAGCATCATTTTTGTCTCAGTGTATCATTTTGATACACTCAGACAGTTGCTGCTTTTCACTACTTTGTTTCTACAAACTGTACTCTAAAACAAATCATTCTATTTTTTTTGTATATTTTTATAAGAGAAATATTATAATTATGAATTGGGTTTCCAACTGAGGAGTTTTCACTAAAACACTGCTTAAAATGAACTTGTCACCAAAGACAAGATATAAAAACTCAATCTCTGTAGTAATTGAAATGGAAAATTTTTTATTTTCAGTAAAATGAGGATAATACAAACTCATGTAATTTTATAATGTACATGTTTACTCTAGTGTACTAAAATATGTGTGTGAGTATATCGACAACCATTCCATTATATATTCAATGTATCTAAAAATTACAGGCTAGCTATTATAAATACTAGAGGTCCGGTGCATGACATTCATGCACTGGGTGGTGAGGAGTGGGGGTAGAGAAGGTGTCCCTCAGCGAGGCCTGAACCCTTTCCCAGTCCTGGAGCCCACAGGGGAATGCCAGTCGGACATCCTTAGCGCTCACCAGCTGTCAGCCCAGCTTGTGTCTGAGTGGAGTTCCCCCTGTGGGAGCGTACTGACCACCAGAGGGCAACTCCTGTGTTGAGCATCTGCCCCCTGGTGGTGACTGAGCATCATAGCGATTGGTCATTCGCCATTTGGTCGATTTGCATATTACCCTTCTATTATATAGGATTATAATAGCTAATATTTCCCCCTAGAATTTAGACGGGACACCTTCTCAGATATTATTAAACTGTCTGGGAAAATTGAACAAGTGACTTGTTCACTAATTTTTCATTAGTAAATAGAGGCTTTACAAATGATTGTATTTCTTTTTTGCTTGGCCCTAATTTGGGATTATTTCCCCCCCCCCCCCCAAACATTGCAGAATCAGATTATTTTGAAATTTTACAAAAGGCTTTATTTATAAATGTTTGGTAGATGTGTCTATTTATTAACAAGGTATTTTCTTGTTAATTTTTTCTCTCTTCCTCATTCTCAACCCCCTTTTCCCACTAACCCCAATATTAAGGGCTTTTTAGTCAAGAAAGAAGGCATTAATGGGCCTCAGAGGGCAGGAAGGTTAGCCACACTCTTGCCTTAGTGGAGGTGTGGTGTGTTTGAGTTCTGTGAGTGGCTGGCATGGGCATTCATTTTCGATTTCTATTCTCTCTTCCCTGTACCTCCTCTTTCTCTTTATTACTTTCAGTAGCAACTGTTGAATTATCTTCTTTTTGTTCCCTTAGCCACCACCTAATGATCTTAGCTCAGGGCTCTTTTCTTTTTTTTGAGAAAAAAAAATCATTGTTATAAAACATTATATAATCAGATAAAAACACTGGGAAATAGATGTAAGTATAGATTAGGCTGTATAAATTTGAGATGGAGAAGAAAGAATTGCTCATATATATCATGTTTATTAAAAATAACTTTATGTGCCTGTCTCCCTAACCAGGCTGTGTGGTTCTCTGGAGCAGTAGAATGCAGAACCATGCCTTCTTTCTCATCTTTGGGTCTCATCCCCTTGGATGTTGCTCAGTGCAATAAATGTGTATTGGACTGAATGGAAGCATACCTGTATTTTCTTCAGAAAGACTGACAAGGGTTTTTTTCTTCTTTTTCTTTTAGAGTCTCTTAAATGCCATAGTTGGTTCTTATCTGTTATAAGCCAGCTTCATTGAATTTGATTGCAGAAATTGAATTTAGATAAGAGAAGAATTGGTTCTAAAAGTCCATTCCTGCTATAAACGGATGGTTTTCAATTATTTTTAATGTCATCATAATATTTTAATATCCCAGTGTTAGCATAATATCCTTTTATAATTAATCTTTCTCGAACACAGATCTGGTCTGAAAGCTTACACTGGATATCAGTATCCCCCAACCCAATTTCTGATCTTATTTTCCAATGTCTTTTTAGACTTCTTGAACTATGACTCTTTACAAACAGCCACCAATGGCCCACTCTGTGGCTCTCATTCATACTGTCATGTCTTGCTTTAGTTTTGTGGTGGGATCAATGAGATAATTATATAAAACATTTACCCAATTCATTGCATTACTCAAATACCCAATATATTTCAGTAGTAGCTGTAATTTTTTATTTATTATTATTATCTTCTTTTCATTTAAATCTTGGCTCATATGTCACCTCCTAAGAGAAACCCTCCCCAGCCACACTGTAGAATATAGACCTCTTCAGGTAACTGTCTATCACATTTTAGCTCCCAGGATTATCCATGTTGTAATTTTGCTGTGAATAGCTCCCATTTAGATTATTAGCTTCTTTGGTGTTGAAGCCAGGTCTTATTAACCTTTCTATATGTGCCTAACACAGAGGGTTTGTTGGGGGGAAAATGGATACCTCTCATGGTTACTGCTTGTTAATAAAGTTAATTTATAACATAGTGGTAAAACTTTAAGTAAGGGCAGAAGGAAAAATCACTATCACAAGAGCTTTCTTATCTCACTTTAGAATTTTTTACATAAATAAGTGCAACAATTCTCAATTTACTGTTGTGTTTGCATGGACAAAGGAGTGACTCATCTCTTCCAGGCTGCATTGAATTTAGCAAACTGAGCAAATAGGAACCTGTTGCTAAGAAAATAAAGCTTGTTTTCGAGGCATTATTTTGAATCTTTGCCATAACGTCAAAGTATAACATTAATCAAGAGAGAAACTTTAAGCCATAGTTCAGGAATAATGCAATCTGGAACTGAACAATCTGCCATTAGCCTGAGGGAGTGGGTAAATGCTTCCAGTCTCCATTTGTAGGTGCCTTAGTACAATGCAGGTATTTATTGTTTGTCAGCTCGAAGCATCATCTTAGCCTCCTGAACCCAATCTTATTTGGACACATGACCTTGTCATGTTAACCTTGTCATCCCAGGTATTTGGAAACTAAGGAGCAAGAAGAGCAGCTTATGGGCCACATTGTAAGCACTTATTTCTGAATTTGTCACTCTATTCCAAAGCTTTACAATAGTGACTTAATGTTAATGATCACAATATTATTTTATTTGTGTGAAATGTTATATAAAAGCAATGTCCTCTCATTTTTGAGTTTAAAAGTAGATCTACATGCCCTGGCCAGTGTGGCTCAGTTGGTCAGGCAGGGCACATAACCAAGTTGTGAGTTTGATCTCTGGTTGGTGGGCACAGGAGGCAACCCAGCGTGTTTCTCTCTCACATTGATGTTTCTCTCTCTCTCTCTCTCTCTCTCTCTCTCTCTCTCTCTCTCTCTCTCTCTCTCTCTCTCATCTTTCTCTCTCTCCTTTCTTCTCTAAAAATAAATAAAATTTTCTTAAAAATTAGATCTGCACCTATTCTATTCAAATTGAAACTATGTATGAATTATGATTACTGAAATTTCTAAATGTATCATTGACCAGCTCTGCTTTAGGAAAGCTAGATTTTTAAGAGTTTGGATTATATCCTGGATTAGATAAGAATTTTAAATAAATTTCAGTTTGTTTAAAAATCTGTTCTACAGTGATTCATGTAAGCTTGAGGTAAGTCCATCAACTTACAACATTACTAGAAGCCCAATGCATGGAATTCGTGCAAGAGTAGGCCTTCCTTCCTCTGGCTGCTGGCACCAGCTTCCCTCTGGCACCTGGGATCTGGGTTTCCCTTGCAGCCCAGCTTTGTCTGGAAGGACATCTGGTCTAATTAGCATATTATACTTTTATTATTATAGATTTAGCTTGAAGTCCTTTTATTTAGAGCTTTTAACTCTACTCTGAAATATAGTGTTATTTGTACTGTTTGTTCTCGGCTCTCATCTTTTTGTATGAATTTTTATTTTAACAAAATTTTAGGAAGTGAAATCTTGCATGACTGTATGATAATCTGAAAACATTGATATTTGGTTGGGCAAAATCCTGTCTTTGTAAAATAATGCACAATGTTGTTCTCATCAACAAAGTTCTGTCTATTTTATTTGTGTTCATTTGGAAAATACAGATTTTCTTGTTTTGGATAATGAAGTAGTTGGAAAAAGAAAATATATATATTTTAAAAAATATTTTATTGATTTTTCACAGAGAGGAGGGGAGAGGGATAGAGAGTTAGAAACATCAATGAGAGAGATACATCGACCAGCTGCCAATGTACATGCCCTTGACTGGAATTGAACCTGGGACCTTTCAGTCCGCAGACCGCGACACTATCCACTGAGCCAAAATGGTTTCGGCAAGAAAATATTTTTATAAAAAATTATTTTCAACTAATGTGATTATAAAATATACAGAAAAGGACTCATAGCCTGGCTGGTGTGGCTGAGTTGATTGAGCTTCATCCCAGGCACCTGGATGTCAGCTGTTCAATTCTCAGGGCACATGCCCAAGTCCCCAATAGGGGTCGTGTAGGTTGCAACCAGTTTGTGTTTTTCTCTCCTTGATGTTTCTGTCTCTCTCCCTCTTCCTTCTTCTTTCTGAAATCAACTTTAAAAATATTAAAAAAAAAGAAGAAAAGGGCTCTTTACTAGATTGGTTGCGAATGAAATTTAATGCAGATGATTCCAAGTTCAGTGACAGTAGAGACTCTTGTTTGATATATTATGCATCTAAATTTGACAAGAATATGAACCCAATATTTCACCTGCTTTATTTCTAGAATTTAACACGTGAATTGGACAATAAGGAAAAGCAGCAGATACAGATGTTGAATCAACTTAAGGAGATCCAGAATCACTTTGAGACGTGTGATGCCAAGCGCAAGCAAGCTGACCACCAGATCTCTGAGCTGACGCACCATGCTGAGGATGCAACCAAGCAGGCCGAGCAGTACCTCCTGGACTTCCAGCAGTCAGAGGCCCTGAGGCAGGAGGCAGTAAAGAGGAGAGAGGAGCTGAAACTGAAAGCTCAGGAGTCCATTAGGCAGTGGAAGCTGAAGCATAAGAAGTTAGAGCGAGCAATGGAGAAACAATCTGAAACTCTGGATCAGCTGACAGACAAGAATAATCAGGTATAAACGCCAAATTCCTAAGGAATTATTTTTGCTGTGACCAACCATTCATTCATCTGTCCTGTGAACAAACACTTGTGTGCCATGCTGTGCATATAATCTATCAAGATGTCCTTGATAGAAGAGTGTTTATGTCCTGAATCTTTCAAGGTAAAGAGTGATTTTGTTTTGTTTTTTAATCTTTTTTAAAGCCTTTTTTTTTTTTTTTTTTTAATTCCATGGCTTTTCAGAATGGGCCCTTAAAATAGATCTATTCCTCCTCCAGTTTAGTTTTTAGTTTCTTACACTGAAATCATTGCTTAATACTCATGTGTAAGAAAATCACAAAATCTTTCTTAACAATTACGTGACTTTTCACCCAAGGCATATATTTTAGAACCTCATTTATTGGTATTATACAACTTAAGTATTTGTTAAAAAGAAGGATTTAAAAATGCAGTAGTTCCATTTTGTGGCAGCCACTATAATAGGGTTAGTTAAATGACTGATATCGATAATCTCACTGAATGAACAGTATTATCAGATCACAAGCCTCTTTAAGACTCTGCTTTTGTGCCCTTTTGATAGCAACAAAAAACATTTCACTGATCTATGTATGCATTTCACATCATCTTTTCTGTTGCACGATCAGTTACTTTAAATGGATTTTATGCTCGTATGTTGATTCTCCAGAATATCTTTGAGTTGAATTAAACCCAGATGTTTATAAGATAATAAGCAGGAAAGTCATGATTTGATTTTTATCTATGTTTAGTCTTGGTTTATCATTTCTTCTTTGTCATTTGTCACTTGTCAAGAACTAGGAACATTCTGGAAGAATAATGATTTGAATAAGTTGACTTTCTTTAAAAAAAACAAAACAAAATATAGGACAGTTACATTTATGAAATCAGTTGTCAGCACGTAATAGCGAAAGGTCTTTGTTTCAGATGAGCTGTCATGGAAAATATGTTTTGCCTCTTACATAAGAGTTTCTAGACCTACAGACAATGGAGGAAGTGATCGCTTGGCCCTCACTGTGGATGTTTGCTTTCCAATTTAACCCATCAGGCTCATACTGGGTGGACCAGTAAATAGCTCTAAAACTTTCAGACTTGAATCTGAACTGATTTGATTCTAGGAAATTGCTCAAACTTGATTATTCTGCTGTCAGCCTGGTCTGGCAACAGGTTCAGTGTGCCTGCCTATAAGGGAAGTTGCTAGGGGGAACAGTGGTTGCGGGGGGATTGATTGATTGAGAACCATCTGGGGATTTTACTTAATTAGAGGAAATTTAGAAGAGTCCATGCTATCAGACAGTATCCTAATCCATGGAGCTGAGAGTTTTCTAGATTGAGCTTTTCAGAATATTAAAGATTATTAAACAATCATTTCCCAGAATACTCTTAATATAATTATTTTTTTTTATCACTTAGCATTGCTAATGATAAGCAAAGAAGTGGTTTTAAAGTGATTGCCATAGTTAGGGTAGTATCACAATTATCACAGCAGGCATTGTAATTTCCACTTTAAAAGCCTTAAAATTAATGCAGCATGTTGCAGTTAGAGCAATGGTTAATCAAGGAAGAAAGGGTAACATATATTTCACTGCAAATGCATGTGTCCAATAAATCTGTGATGTGGAAATACATTGTAAATAATTTTGGGGAAAATGTTTTTTTTTTTTACATCTTTCTGAATAATACCACTAATGAGTATTTAATTCTTAATATAATCTCAAAGCCACCTGAAGGCATTAGTAATACAGCTTACTCTTTTTTTTTTTTTTTTTTTTAGGACTAATTAGTTTCAAAATGTGCCTTCAGGGTATATTTGGAAGTTCATATTAAAATAAAAATGATACTGGTTGACAAGTAAAACACATTATGGTTTAAAGAATAAATTAATTGTTTTATAAGTAGCTTTGTTGAGCCATTTTATATGGTCAAAAGATATCATCTTTGGATTTTAAAAATAGTTCTGTGCATACTTCTATATCTTTTTCCAGAATAAATTATTTTTCGCTTTAAGATTTTCCAGTAAAAAAATACATTAGAAGGGCCCTGGCCAGATTGCTCAATTAGTTGGCAACCTTCTATACACTAAAGGTTGTATTCCTGTGGGTTGGATTCCTGGTCAGGGTACATACCTAGGTAACAGATTTGATCCCGGTTGGAGCATGTACTGGAGGCAGCTAATCAGAATTTTTCTTTCTCATGGATTTTTCTCTTTCTTTATCCTTTCCTCTTTCTATCTAAACATATCCTTCGGTTAAGATTAAAAAAACAAAACAAAACAAACTTAATTAAAAATTACATTGGAAGGCTAAAAGCTTTTATTTTCCTCAAAATTGCTCTGATTTGCTTTCTTTTTTACCTTTTCATAATCTTGGTAGATTACTATATATATATAGATTACTATATATATATAGTTTTTTAATATGATATATATATATATATATATATATATATCATATTAAAAAACTACTTTATTACTGAAGGATATGGAATATCAATAAAATGACATATCATTGCAGAAACAAACATAAATCAGATTGTATACTTTCCTTAAAAGACAATGGCATGGATGTATACATCAGGGAATCATGGTGTTCTTTAAGGATATGTAGATAAATGTGTATTGGAAGACCTAAAATTCTATAGATACATATAATTTACTCATAAGTTGTGACCCTTTTGTTCTTAATTCTTAATTAATTAGTTAAATTTAAAATTATAGTTGACATAAAATATATTAGTTTCAGGCCAAAAATAAGCATGAAACCTTTGTTTTAATTTTAAAGTGCTGTTTGAAGTCATTGGCTTTTATACATGCTTCGAAAATGCTAAAGGAAAAAACAACAACCAATTGATTCTGTTCATAACATATGCTTTTCTGAATGTTCCAAATTCATATATCTTTTTAACATGGATAATGGGAATCATCTTAGGTTGTGTGTGTGTGTGTGTGTGTATTTGTGTGTGTTTTCTGAATTGGCAGAATACTTGCCTTTCTCATGTGTATTGAGCTTTTTGCTTGATAGCCTTTGACTTCAAGAATCTTATATTGTCATTTTTCCTTTTGTGTATTGCTTTCATGCTAAGGAAAAACAACAGCAATATGTAATAAAAACTGTCTTTTAAAGTTTGAATTTTTCATGTTTGAAAAGTGAGAATGATCAATGCTTAAGTGAGTATTTTTAACACATGTAAGCAGTATTATCAAATGCTATTAAGGAAAGGCTAGATCACTGATATATATATGGTCCAGCAAAAGTAGTTTACAGCTGTTTATATGGAAAATTATATAATAATTAATATATAAGAATATAAGAATAAACTCTGTTTTGCGTACACACAACTGTAAGCCTACTTTTGCCCTACCCAGAATCAGCATAATTTAGCAATCTGTTTGCATGTTCCCTTGCCCATCTTTTAGTGAATTCAAGAAAACTATGTGTCCTTTGTCATCAGGCCTTTGAGGAGTTCCCTCCTACTCCTATGTCCATCATGGTTTTAGACACTCTCATTCTTTTGGCTTTACCCAGCCATTACAATTCTTTCATAATTTTTACTTACAGCTGATCTTCAGAAGCAGGGTTTTCTTGGTTAGAACATTCTCCTCATTGTTCCTGACTGTGATGTATTTTTCCATTATGCGTCAACATTTCTCATGGATTTTTACACCTGACTTCCCTTCAACCTGTTTTATTACATGCAATTTTTGCCATTATCTTTGGCGACCTCAAAGTTCCAATCATTAACCTATTTAATTCTGTATCTTCATACTTCACTAATTTCCTAATTTACCTTCAAACAACTCAGCAGCTAAATTCTGTGACTAAAATTTGTTATCATTTGTAATTTCTGTATGTTCAGATCTCTAGTTCCAAAATTTCAGTCTCTGATCTTACACATTTCTTCTTCCCCCCCTTTCCTTTTTTGAACCATTGGCATTTGATTTTCATCTTCCTGCATTCCTCTGGTTGTTCAGCCATTTCCTGGAATCAGTTTTTTTCCCCATCACACTGGACTTCTTCAAAAGCTACTCTGATGACAAGCTCACTGGCATCTTTAATTTCTTCCTTCAAACTCACACATTTTATTCATCTTCAATCTATAAAAATTGATCTTCAGCTCTCTACTTTTTCCATCCCCGTGCAAAAATTACATAGACATGTCAGTGGGCTCTTATAGTGGTCTTGATTACCTCCTCACCCCATTCCATTCCATTCCAAAAATTTATGTGGCCCAAGTACTAGCCATGCCAGCCTGTTCTGATAGATAAAGAATTCTCTATGAAGTCTATTGGGGGGCTTTGGGTAAAAATTTACTTACTCTTAAAAATGATGCATGAGATAAGAGCTTTTTTCCTTATCTTAATGTTGTATTTGGCTGGAATGCCTGGAATAGCCGAAGCTGTCTTGGTGTGGCCCTGAGAATGAAGGCTCACCCAGAGAGGGTATTGCTGGGAGAAATGGGGAGAGGTGGACCTGAGCTTTGACGTACTGTGTCTGCAGCAGTCCTGTCTGGGGAGATGATAATAAATTACCTGGTGGTTTAAGCCAACTTGGATTATAGTTTTCCCCCTGTTTTCAGTAGCTGATGTGAAATATCAATTCTAGGAGCTATTTATTAGTAAAAAAAAATAACACACCTAAATTTAGGATTGGCTAAATGGAGAAGTGGGGTGACAACAGGGAGGATCATACATTTCTAAAGGGAAAGTTGGCACACTATACTGTGCTATTGGAAGTAGTTGTTTTAACCATCAGAAGGCATACGTTGGGGGCATTGATGCCACACCTCAGTGTGGTATTATTAGTAAGTGACCAGTAAGAAAACTTTAGGATGTTGACATATGTTGTGTACTTCTTGCAGCCTTCAGAAAGGTCCTATAAGAGAAAGTCAAGTATGGGTTGAAACTGGTCTGTCCAAAAGCAGAGAGCTAAATTTTTGGTGTGGAAAAATTAAAAATCTGCAACCTGTAATCCAAATTTTCTGAGTATGATAATTCGGAGTCTTAGAGTTGGAAAAGTCAAATTATCTATCCATCCTGAAATTAATCTAAGCAAGAGAGGGAGGTCAGACACATAGCAGAAATAAATAAGAACTAAAAAAAGAACAACCAACCAAAAACAACAAGCCAGATTTCTCGGGCCCTTTTCAAGCACTTCTACTTAAGCATTCCTTAAGTAGAATTCCTTAACAAAGGAGCCCCATGTCTGTTGTTCTGAATTTCCTCAAGGTAAAAGCTCTTCAACTGAGGGCTCCTGGGAATGTCTAGGATATTGAGCTGGGTGGTTAAGACACTGACATTTTCAGACTCAGAGACAATGTCTAGACAATATCTAGAGCTGTGGCTACTAGCCAAGCAATTAATCAAAAACAAATGGATGAACTTACTTAGTTTTTAGTACCTGTGTTGCCAAAGAAATTTCAAACTTGACTGCTATGAGTTGATGTGGTGTGTGTGTGTGTGTGTGTGTGTGTGTGTGTGTGTAAAACTGCAGAATTGTAGAGTATCAGAGCCTGAGCTTTGAAGGACTCTTCCTGAGCCACCCAATTAATTCCTGCTTTGTGGGAAAAAACAATATTCTTGCTATTTAAACCAACTTTAAGAAGACATGATAGTATTTTAAATCAAAGCCATTTCATGTGCTTGAGCTTCATCTTGAAAATAGGATTTTTTATCTTCAGGGCTGCACAGAAGTCTCTCAACTCATGGCTAAGGGGGCTTTGTTACTTGTTCTAAAAATTAATCACTGTATTTAAGTCTCCTCCCCTTTTTCTCAGGTGGTATTAGTGTCCTTATAGCTGTGACTTGGTTGTGCCCCTTTTTGTTTTCTCTAGGTGGTAAGTAGAGTGATTCCCAAAGACATTCCACTCTTTGACTGGATCTGTCAATAGGATTAGCTATCAGTCCCATGATTATGTTTTGTTAGATGGCGCAGTTGACCTTAAGATAAGGAGATTATCTGGATGAGCATAATCTAATCACAAGAGCGATTAAAAGCAGATAGAATTTTGTCTGTTGGGATAAGGGGAAGTTAGAGGGATTTAGAACTATGAGATTTATGTGGTATTGCTGGTGTCAGAAACAGAAGAGACCCTGAGCCAAGGAGATCAGATGACCTCTAGAAGTTAACACAATGCTTGGCCCAAAGCTAGGAAGTAAACAGGAACCCAAGTTCACAGAACTAAATTTTGCCAACAGTATGAATGAACTTGGAAGTGAATTTTTCCCCAAAGGCTCCAGACTAGAGCCCAGGTCAGCTGACATCTTGGTTTCAGCCCCAGGAGACTCCTAGCAGAATGCCTTGCCTGGAATTATGACTTATGGACTCAGTTGAGGTAATAAATGGATATTGTTTCCAGCCACTAAATTTGTGGAATTTGTTACACTGCAATAGAAAAACAATACATCTACCCTTAGGCTTATCTGTATTTCTAGCCATTTTTCCTGCCTTACAATCTTTCCAAAGTGAACTCATTTATCTGGGTTCAGTCTTTGTAATCCAGGGACACCGACTTATCAGTTATCCCTCTTCACAGTTTTGATCACTCTCTTGCTTGAATAGCAAGGTTTCTCCTTGAACTTAATTTCCATTCCTGCTTTTTGTATCCCCTTTCCCATTGTGTTCACAGCTTTATGATTTAACTACTATACTTCCTATCTAATAAAAGTGTACTATGCAAATTGACTGCCACTCCAACACACAAGTTGGCTGCCCCCATGTGGTCAAAGATAGATGCCCCTATGTGGACATAAGATGGCCACCACAAGATGGCCAGTGAGGGAGGGTAGTTGGGAGAGACCTGGTATGCAGGGGAGGGCAGATAGGGATAAACAGGCTAGTAGGGGAGGGCAGTTGGGAGGGATCAGGCCTGCAAGGGAGGGTAGTTGGGGGCAATACAGCCTTCTGGGAAGGGCAGTTGGGGGAGACCCAGGCCTGCAGGGGAGAGCAGTTAGGGGCAGACAGGCTGGCAGGGGAGTTGTTAGTGGGTGATTCGGCTGGCAGGCAGAAGCAGGGGCAATCAGGAAGGCAGGCAGGAGAGCATTTGGGAGCCAGCAGTCCTGGCAGTTGGACATCCCTTCAGGGGTACCAGATTGGAGAGGGTGAGGCTGGGCTTAGGGACACACCCTCCTGTGCATGAATTTTGTGTACTTTATAAAGATAATTTCCTTAAGGCCATGGAACTACTTATGACTGGACTGAGAAGCAAATTCAGTTCTCTGGCCAGAGCTTAACTGCTTAATCACCCACCAACCTCCTTTACTGTTTCTCATGTCAGCTTCATTCTGTTTCTCCCTGTTTGAATTGAGGGATTTGAAGAAACTTTGTTTTTGAGTGATTCACTTATTTTATCATGGATTGTTTCACACTGATCTATTAAAATACAAAGTGTCAAAATGCCTTGCAAGTATTGAGGCAGGATAGTAAGAAGCTAGAAAATTTCTTGGCAAAAGGAATTGGGAAACCCAGACAGATAGTTAAACAGTAGTTTGCAGCCATCTAGTAAATCCTGTCTTCTCTCAACCAAGGACACTCAAGAGTAAATGCTTTGCACTTCTTCCCAACCAGAGGGTAAATAGCTTAAATCACCCTATTCAGGGAGATAGATAGCAGAAATCCAATTAATGCCATTTGCCAATCATACCCAAGGACAAATGAAGTTAAGGGAATAAATCTCATTTTGGCACATCAGCATAAAACTAATGAATATTCTATTAAGATCCTCCCTGAAGTCCTCCCCTAAACACCCAGCCTTTAAACCCCTTCAAAAGTAAGGTCCCAGCTTGGGCTCTCCCTCCAGGGAGCACACCCTCCCCATTCCCTACTTCTCCCTCTTTCTTCCCCACAGGCCTGTGTCTCCTAAACTCTAAGAAACCCCAGAGAAGCTTGCAACCAGTGCAGCATGGGCAGTAGCAGTTTATCCTGGGACACCCCTTCTCTACCCCCACTTCCATCCCTAGGGTCCCCTTTTTCTCTGATTTAGTGAACCAAAGCCAAGCCACCCACACTAGGCCCATTTCCCCACTTAGTACCTCTCCTGTTTTTCTAGGCCCTTCTTTGTTCCATGTCCCCAGTTTTAATAAATGTCCTTTAAAACTCACCTGGCCTGTCTGGTATGGCTCTGTAGTTGAGCATCTCAATTCCCTGTCAGGGCACATACCTGGGTTGCAGGCTCAATTCCCAGTTTGGGGCATGCAGGAGGCAGCGATCAATGATTCTTATCTCCCTCTCCCTTCCTCTCTGAAATCAATAAAAAAATTAATTAAAAAAATTCACCTGGACTCCTGTTGTGAAAATTTTTCCTGCAGAAAATCCAGATCCTACACACTACTGGCTAACCCTAGGCAGATGCACAAAGGGCCAGGACCTCTTTCCAGGAACAGTATTTGCATTTTAATTTATTGTTTCAAATTCTGAAATGAGACTCTTAATTTTTTTCTGGGTTTGAGCTATGGTGGGCACCAGTATGCAGGTACAGATATTGTCCTTAGTGCCAGTGTCGGAGGTATGTTTGTGGCAATTTCTGCTTCCTTCGCTGCTGGCTCTCTTATTTGCATTGATGATTGGTGAGGATTAGAAGGCCAGTTCTTGATCTCTGTCCCTCAAGTATATACCCTAACTCCTCTAATGAGGCTGGCAGAAGGTGATGGCTGTCTGGTCCCTTGCCTTTTCTCTTGAGATCCCTCCCAACAGCTCTCAATCTTAAACTAATTTCATTTCTACCTTTATGGGACCTCAAGATTCCTAGTTATATACTGTTGTGTTTCTTGTCACTATTGACATTATTTTATTAATAATGGCTGCTTATACCATTACCTTTCTTAGATTATATCTATGTGCTATCTTATATTTTCTATATCGGTTTGAAGTTTTCCCTTTTTAAAAGTATGGCACTGGAATGCAAATCATTGTTATTTTAAATAAGCTATGCTATATTATTTCAGCCTCTGATAAATTATAATAGGAGTCTTTTTCTTTCCTTATTCTTTTGATCAACTATCTTACATTTAAATAATTATGTATGAGCAAGGATTGATGTTTTGGTAATGAAAATCTGAAACATATTTCAATGTGGTGCTACTTCAGAATAATTGTACGCTTCCTCTTTATCTAGGCTAAATATTTTTAAGAAAAAAATAAAAAATAAATAAATATTCTTTGTGAATTAAACTTTATTTTGTTTTCTGGCATTGTCTATGCTGACTTTTTTATTTTATTATTTTTCTATGGTGAATTTTATAGTAATTTGTTTTGTATTTTTAACTTGGTAGATCCTAAAAGAAAAGGATGAATTGAAAAGCCAGCTTTATGTGGCATTACAACAAATAGAGAACCTTCGAAAGGAATTGAATGAGGTCCTAACCAAGCGGGCCCTTCAGGAGGAAGAGCTTCATTGTAAGGAGCAGAAGCTAAGTGACGTGAAGGCTCATCAAGCTGACCTTGAACTAGAAGTCAAGGATTCCCTGGACACCATCCATAGGCTAAACTCTGAAATCCAAAAGCAGAATAAGGTTCAAAGCCAACTGAAAGTGGAGAAAACTCACTTGGAGGAAGAAATTTCAGAACTAAGGAAGAGCCAGGCCAAGGACAAAACTCAGCTTCTGGAGATGCAAGAGGCCATCAAGAACTTGAGTGCCATCCGGGCAGACCTGGCTAATAAATTGGCCGAGGAACAGAGAGCCAGGAAGGAAGTGCTTAAGAACATTTCTGACCTCAAGACACAGGCGAAATCTAGAGATGAAGAAACGGCTACAATCATCACCCAGTTAAAACTGGAACGAGATGTGCACCAGCGGGAGCTGGCAGATCTCACGGCCTCACTGCAGAGTGTGAGAACTAAACATGAACAAAACGTCCAGGAGCTCATGAAGCACTTCAAGAAAGAGAAAAGTGAAGCCGAGAATCATATCAGGACACTTAAGGTACATGTGCTGAATTATCTGATGGTACTGAAGGAATTCTTCTGGTGGTTCATGAAGTTAATAGGGCGTAAACTTGTAGAGATCATTCTGTATCCCTAAGCATTGATGGGAAGCTGAAACGAACAATAAAGAGGCTTATCCATGGCTGTTCGGCCAGGTTGAAATGAGTTACAGCAGCCATCTGGGAGCACCTCTTTCAGAGCACTGAAGCCTTTTAAAAGGAACCATTAGCTATTTGGGGAGTTTAGAAAAAGGCAGAGGTGGCAATAAGTTGTGAGTTTGAAACGTGCCCTCATTCAACATTTATGACCTCCTAAAATATAAAAGGCAAAGACTTACTAAGGCCATAGAAGCTATAACCACAGCCCTTATTAGTATGGTAACTAAAGTGGATAGCTTACAGGCTGTGTAAACCTAAGGCTTTTGAGATTTACCCTTTCTTTTCCAAATCAAAGGTGCCTGAATAAATGCATAGGTGAGTTCTTGCCTTTGGGGAAATGCTTCCAAGTCTAATGGTATTAGCATTTCACCATAGAGCAGCTAATAACTTTATAACATGATTGTCAGGAGTATAAGTCTATCCCTTCTCTCTCCTTCATTTTTTCCCCCTCCAAGATGCTAATCATCATATATATTGCATGTTATTTATTTTTAATCAGTCTTTATTGGAATGGACATTTGTCAAGAGATATGAAGAAGAGCTGGTCTTAAAAATAAAAGATGGATTCTATATTAATTGATTAGCTATGACAATCATAATAATAGTAGAAGACATTTTTTTTAGCACTTAGTTTGTGCCAGTTATTACTATAAGAACTTTACATGTGTTAATTTAATATTCCTGCATACTGTATGGTATTATTTTCTCTCTGTTCAGGAAATTGAGATATGGGAAGTTAAGTAATTTGCCCAAGGTGGAAAGTAGTTGAGACAGGATTTGAACCTAGGTTAAGTGCCTATTTTTTAACTACATTGCTGTACTGGAAAAGGTTTATTCTTAAGGATGTCTAGGTATGGACTCGGGAGACTAGGTGGAGAACGAGGCTATTTGTCAAGATAGATAATACTGACAGAACAGATTTGGAGAGAACAATACAAAATCCATGTTGAGTTAGGAAGAAGGGAACTGAAGCCTAACCATGAAAGTCTAAGTAGAATAGTCAGTACATAATAGGTTAAATGTTGAAGAGGAACTTGAGATTAAAGTAAAATGTTTACAGCCAGTAACCCATTGGTGGTCATTGAAATCATGGGATTTGGATGAGGTCAGCAAGGAGAAGGAAGAGGATGAAAACCCTAGAACATCACTGTTTAAGGGGAAAATTGAGAAAGATGTTTGGCAAATAAAAATAAAGGAACATATGAAAGAGAGGAGGAGAACCAGAAGAGAGTAGAAATTCAGATAGAACATTTTAAGAAAGGTATAGTCAAGAGTGTCAAGTGTGGCACACAGGCTAAAGGAAGAACTAAAAGAGTTTATTCTGTTTGTGAGAGATTGGTGGAGAAGGTCCAGGAGGAGATGTCAGGAGGTCAGATAAACAGGAGACAGGACACATCTTCCTCTAAAGGTTTTGAAAGAAGCCAGTAAGATTGAGTTAGCTCATAGTCTGAGCTTATTGATGTGAATGCTAACCAGTTTCTTTCTTCCCTCTGAAGTAGAGCAGAGCAGCAGGGCAGCAGGGCAGTAAGTAATTTATGAGTGGCAAGATGTAAACTGCTGTGAAGACTGATAGAAACTGCATGAGGCTAGTCTGGGAGCATGTCATGCACTGATGTAGCTAACGTTGGTGAAGAAGTATCATGGGCAAAGGAATGAGAGTGGAAGGATAGGAATCTACAATTGTAGGTTGCTTATTTGGTCAGGAATTTTTATGTTAGATTTTTAGATTTTCAGAGTTAAAGCCCAAGGTGTAATAATGCAGTTGGTTGCTATTGTGGGATGTGGATGAAGGTGATTGTAATACAACAGGTCAGATAACTTTGATGTTAGTTTGTTGGATAGATATTTGGGTATTTATGATTCTATTGTGAAGGCAACAATTGATCACATGCCAGAAGGAATGACTGGTCAATCAGCTGTTGCCATCAGGGAAGGGAGAGTTGATGTGAATCTCAAAGGAAGGCAGGGTTTTTAATGAGGATAGGTATATAGTGACTTGTTAGGTCATAGCTAGAGAAATGGTTCTTTCCAGGATGGTCCTTTCCTGTAAGGCGGCCTAATCCTTCAAGGACCAGTTAATTGTTAATCTCTTCTATGGATTCATTGAAGTTGGGATGAATTTCCAATCCTCTGTGTTTTTATAGCTCTTTGTTGTATAGAATAGCAAGCACATTTAGTCTGCCTTATATATATTTGTGTTTGTGTTTGTGTGTGCGCCCGCACTCATAAGTCTTATGAGCACATATAGTTAATTTGGTCTTAGCCATTTTTTGTGTCTCTTTACATCAAGCATGTCAAACTCACGGCCCATGGGCTGCATCTGGCCTGCAACAAATATTTTTGTGCAGGCCAGCCAATATAACGGTGAGAGTAGTTACTTACAATCATGAAAGGAAATAAGTCTCCAGTTAGATCCAGAATTACTGACATTCACCTTGGGTCAGTTTTGAAAATAATCACTGTGAACAAGATTATCCCCGAAGTAGGAAGAGAAGAAATTCCAAGTGGCAGGAAGAAAACATTAATTTTACCATTGTTCTTTTTTATATAATAAAATAAACCTACGTTTCTGTGAAAATTGAAGCTTTTGTTTTTTGTGGCCCACATAAACTTAAACCTTATTTATTTGGCCCGTGTTAGCCTTTGAGTTTTACATTGTTTAATAACATTTGGGACAAACTGAAGATATTTAATGGATGTTGGGTCAAAAAAATTTTTAAATATACTTTTATTGATTTCAGAGAGGAAGGGAGAGATAGAAACTGAATTGCATCTAGCATGGCCAGGGGTGAACTTGAGGAGGGGCGGTGAAGGACTAAAGAAGACAGATAAGAGAATACAGTTAGGGCTAGGTAGGTTCGCTTGTGTCTGGATGAGGACACAGTGATGCAGCTGGTAAGTCAAAGCTTTATTTTATAGTAAGAGCACATAAAGCAAAACAAGGGAAATGGTCAACATGTTTACCATGTTCTTTCAAGTTTCACCTTGTTTTGGCAGCACTTCTTGCATCTCCCTCAGCCCATTAGCTATCTAGGAAGGAACAAGGGGGGACTATAAAGTCAAACTAATTATGCCAGGAGGGCTCTGTCCTCCAAGCTGGGACTTGTTTGTGGCCCTGCCACTGGTCAGTCCAAGGCTTAACCCTATAGCTACTCCCTATAAGAAACATCAATGATGAGCTAGAATCATTGATTGGATGCCTCCCACACGCCCCCTATTGGAGTTTGAGCCCTCATCCTGGGCATATATCTGACCAAGGAATCAAACTGTGAACTCCTGGTTCATAAGTCAATGCTCAACCATTGAGCCACAGCAGCTGATGGATCAAATTGTTTAAAATTTGTTGGAAATCAGAGGACTTGGTCCTGAATTGCTTTGTGATATTTATGGCTTGGATTTCTCCCTATAATGGGGGAAAACTAATTTCCTCATCTTTTCTTTAGGAAGTACTTTGTGTTCGTATAATGAGAAGACAATAAACTTTGAAAATTAACTGTATGTAAAGAATATGTAATTTAGAAATATTCTGTTTATCCCCTGAAACTGTTAGACTTTTTTTTTTTTTTTGAAGACTGAGATTTAGGAGGGGTGTTGCAGCTACTCTTTAATGTGGCACAAATGCAACATAAGAGCTTAAAAGGAGAACTTGAGTTTCTGTGAGCCTTGCACTTTGCTTTTCAACTGAATAAATTACCCATAAGGAACAACCTTCACCTCATGCTATTTCATTAAAATAACCTTATACTTTTGCTTACTTATATTAATTAAAAGTTGATAATATCACAGAATATTTAATAAACTGAATTATGTACAAGAGTGCTTTGGATAGTATCTCTATAAATGTTATATTTTGTTATCTTTCAGCTTTATTACTTTTTCTGAGTCTAATAAGTGCTGGTATTTCACCCCTATTTTTCTACTGCACAAATTATAGTTTTCTATCTAGAAATACTCTTCTCATGCCTATTTTTAAAGTTAAATGTAAAATATTTTAATGAAACAATGCAGCTGCTGTTAATTGCAGAATATTGGGTTACTACTTCATTTTGACTTCAACAAAAAAAAAAAATTTTGTAGAGCCTTTTTTTGGGAATTAAAAGACCAAGAATTGGAGTTTTATATATTTGCCATTTGTTGGCCATATGATTTTGGTCAACGTACTTAACCATTTTGCACTTAATTAAAAAAATGGGAACAGTAATGTCTTTATTACAGGATTTTTGTGAGTGTGCCATTGCCTTATAAGCTATAATAATAAAACCTCAACAAGGAGCTAGTTCTTAGTCAAACTTAGGCATTAGTGTGCTGGTAAATGTTTTAAGATAGGCTCTCTGGAGGGGTAGGAAGAAACCTGATTTGTATCATTTCCCAAGTTCAGTGGTATAAATACCTCCTTTGGCTGTTTTCAAGCTATCAAACAAGACATCACAGGAGAGGGACAGAATTAGGAAGAGATGAGCACAATTGGTTCTTGATAGCCGCTGTGAGCCAGCTCCAACACCCCCTGGCTTTAGGGGAACCTTCTGTACATCCACTTTTAATAGACATAAAGAAAAGCCAAAGCCTTCTACTGCAACTTCAAGTCATAATTGACCACTTTTCCTGATGAGAGACTTTATTTTGTAAATTTATGTTGGGTTATGAATATATGATTCCTCACAAAAACTCAATTCCTTTGTTGATTTCAAGTGGCATCAAATTTTAGGTGAATTTTGTGGGCTGAATAAAATTTAAATTTTGTCTAAAATTCACAAAACTTGTTCCAGGAAATTGCTTTCAATAATTGTGTTCCCCTATAACTAATCAAAAAGATATAACAAATTATAAAAAAACCCACATACATGTTAGGCACTAAATTCTTTATAAATAGACTATATGTAATTACTAGTGGGTGTGACCAGTTAATATTGCAAGTTGCATCCAGCTGGTTTTGAAACCTTGTGGTGTATATACCTGTAAAAAAGCAGCGTGGCAGAGAAGTTGAAAGCATGGATGTTGGAGAGAATTCTTGGGTTCAAATTCTGGCTCTGCACTTAATCACTACTACCTTGGGGCAGATTATTGGTGTCTCTGTGCTTCAATTTCCAAAACGGAAATAATAGTACTTCCTGGTCAGGTTGTGAGAACGAAATGAAGCTACACCAAATATCTTAGAATAGTGCATGATATCTAGTGTTTATATTGTTATTTTAAAAGTCTGTAAGTTTACATACTTGGGAAATTTTTATTGAATTTCATACATGGAATGCATTATTCCTAATTTTTAAAAGCTGATTCTGTTATATTTCAATTAAAGATGAAAAACCAGGTACTTTATTACAGTGTTGATACTGAAATAATCACTGGTAACTTTTTTCTTCTTCTTCATATTAACTTACTTGTAGTTTCTTGGCTGCTGCAGTTATAATCTTTTTAGTCCTACAGGAGAGGTATTAATAATTACTACAAAAAGTACACAGTTCTTTCACCAAAATCAGGAGTCAGGAGGTTTAGGTTGAATAGGAATGTTGTCAAGCTCCATTTACCAGTATAAACGAAAAACCCATCAGTCAGTAATAGTAGCTCATAGTACTTCCCACTTGGGACACTTTTCAAGTAACTCCTTCCTTTCCCAACAGAGTTAGTGTCCTTTGGGTTGTCACAATACTCCACCTACACCTTTACTAAGGATTTCTCATTCATTGTTGTATAAATCAATTTTGGCATCTGTCTCTTTTACTCTTCATATCTGTTACTGTCAGCACCGAGCACAGTACTTTTCACTTAGTAAATGCCCAGTGAGTGCTAAGGAGTGATTGATGCAGAGCATTTCTTTTGTCCCGTCGGTGTAGGGACTCTTAGAGATAGCCACAACCGGAAGTGTTTGCCTGCTGCTATAATGTGTAACTTGTTTGGTGTACAGTTTTGCTGTGGCCAGTGGACTTTCTCTTTTCTCCTCTTTTTCTCAGGCAGAAAGCTTAGAAGATAAGAATATCGCCAAAGTCCATCTTTGTCAGCTCGAGAAGTTAAAATTACAGTGTGACAGGCTGACTGAGGAATTAAACCAGAATGAAAATGAGAACAAAAAACTAAAGCTAAAATATCAGAGTTTGAAGGATAGCCTAGAAGAAAAGGTAAGAATGTGAATGAATTCTAACTTATCTGAATTTCTTCTAGTATTTCTTCTAGAACATATTTTATGCTTTAATAAATGTTAATTGTAGTCCTGCATAGGACAGTTGTATTGGTGCCATAAACTATTATAGAAGTTTCAATAAATTGTGATTGCTGTCATTTTTATTCTTTGAACAAACCAGTGATCTAATACATTTGATTTTAAATTTCTTCTGGATCTTAAAATGGGAGTAGTTTAGAGGCAAGATAGTAAAGCAAAATAACTGATTTAATATGTGTGCTTAATTCTCACAACTCTTTGGGTTAGATTCTATCCATCCTCTAACCTATGAAGAAATTGCAGCTCAAAATAAAATAGCTAATTACTCACCAGATGCTCGACACTTTTAATACTCATAGTAATTTTAGGAAATCAATACTATTATGCTCCTTTTTGTACTTGCAGAGGCTGAATGAAGCTGTGAGGATTGGTAACCTTGGAACATCCCCAGCAGGCTCACTATATAGCTGTAGATGTATTAAGTTGATTTGGAGTGTCTGCTACATCAGACATTGGGTAGAATAGTGTCACTACTTTTGTGGCAAAAAGTCAACTAAGAATTGAAGCCAGAATATTTAAATTTGGTTTCTGTTTCTTACACCAATTTCCTAAAAGGATTTTCATTTGAGGGTGACAGAAGTCAAATGTGAAAAAGACATTAAAGTATGGACAATAAAATAAGGCAGAATAGAATAAATAAGTCAGATGGATCCTCTACTTCATTGTTTCCCAAACTTTTGACATATGTGTACCCCTTCTATAATTTTCGTAATGCTGAGTACCCCACGTACTCATGAGAACGTATTATAGAATTAGCAGCAGCTAAGCATGGTGCAGTGCATACCCCCACCAAACTTCCCGTACCTCTGGGGGTATGTGTACCACACTTTGGGAAACACTGCACGGTCTACTTTATAAGGGTAACTGGAATCTATGATGAACTGTCACTAGGTGGGTGTCATAAAACTTCATAAACCTTAAGGAAGCAAGTTTCTTAATGATTTGTTCACCTTTCCCTTTTTTTGCAAAGTTTGTTTGCAAAATTTCCTATATCATATGTGTGTAGGTATGTACTAACTTTCTAGTAATTGTTAAAATCAAGGAAATAAAATATAAGTTTGTTTGCAATTTATGATTAAATGAACTAACTCGCTAAATTTAGGCCTACAATCTTGACAACCACTGCAATTTAGTTCTTGAGTCATTCTTTATTTTGATTATGTCTACTGTTCATACATATTTAATGTATCTATTGGCAGGGTGTAGTTGCTGTGGTGATAACTGAAATTTTCCAACTTTTTAATAATTGGAATTTTAGCCAGAAGATGTGTTAACATCTTTTATATTTATTTATTTGCATTCAATAAATGGTAAAAATTTTGATATGTTGAAAATGTAAAGCTTACTTGTTCTGGTTAAAATAAATGTTTCTCCACTGATTCCATTTGTTATGTTTCAGGCAGATATGCATTATCACATATAAATGAAACATTCCCCTCAGAGTCCCAAGAGTTAATGATTGTATTCTACTGCTGGGTATTGAGCATCTAGTATGTGACAGGCATTTTTCTGGATGCTGAGGCTAGGATACAGAAAAGACACAGGGCCTTTGTCTTTGAGAGGTGGTATAGCATTAGTGACTATGAAGGGAACTTGGAGTATAAATGATTTTCTAGCTATGTGGCTGTAGGAAAGTTGCTTAAAAATCAGTCTTACTTTTACAAAACATCCTTAGAACAGGTATAATAATACATCTGCTATGGATTCAAACGTGAAAATGTGTATACTAGTAAAATGCTTGGCAGATTATCTGACACTAGTAGCTCAGTGCATGAATCCTTGCACCAACAGCTCACTGCCGCCCTTTAGTAGTTCTCTGCCCACTGCTCTGCCCTTCTGTAGCTCCCCCGCCCCCGCCCTCCCCTCACGCTCCCTCTTCATAGCTTGCTGCCCTGCCCTCTCCTGTAGCTCTCTGCCGGCTGCCCTGCCCTCCTGTAGCTCCCTCTGCCTCCCCCTCTACAATTGCTTACTGTCCTGCCTGCCCCCTTTTGTAGCTTTCCACTGCCTTCTTGTAGCTTGCTGCCCCACCCCCCTGCTGATCTGTGATCCGGTCATTACACTGTCGGTCAGTCGTTACAGTTGGTCATTACGCTTCATAGTGTAATGACCATTTGCATATTATATCTTTATTATATAGGATAAGCTATCAATTATTAGCTGCTTTATTTTGTTATTGTTTTTAAATATATGCCATTTAATGGTTTAACCAAACAATTAGCCACTTAGCAAGCACTGATTGACTGACCATGGTTCCTCTAATTGTGTGTTAGGTTGTTAAGAGCCAGGGAGCTGGAATCAGAATTACTGCAGAACTGTGCTTTTGGGAGTTTAGAATCAGACGTTGTTGAATCACTTGAGACAGATGGTCTACAAAAGAGGTACCCATCTGAAGAGTTCTATCAGCAAGTGATATTGAAGCCACGTATGTTAAACAAACCAAACTAGTGGGCAGTTTTCTGTTTTGGACAGGAACCAAATCTTGGTTGTTTATGCATCCCGAGATAAGGTATAGGGCCAGACATGCAGTAGGTAATTTATAAGTAAATTGTGGATAAAGAGGTATCTGTGTATGCACATCCATACATAATCATATATATGTAGATAAAGAAATACAGATAACCAAGATATATATATATATATATATATATATATATATATATATATATATATATATACATACTAGACCCAGTGCATGAAATTTGTGCACTGAGGAGTGTGTGTCCCTCAGTCCAGTCTGCTCCCTCTCCAATCTGGAACCCCACAGGGGATGTCCGACTGCCAGTTTAGACCCAATACTGGCAGTTGGACATCCCTCTCACAATTTGGGATTACTGGCTCCCAACTACTCAACTGCCTGCCAGCCTTATCACCCCCTAACCACTCCCTTGCCAGCTTGATTGATACCTAACTGCTCCCCTGCAGGCCGGATTGCCCCCAACTGCCCTCCCCTGCAGGCCTGGATGCCCCCATGGTTGCCCCTAACTGTCCTCCCCTATTGGCCTGGTCGCCCCTAACTGCCCTCCCCTGCTAGCCTGGTCGCCCCTAACTGTTCTCCCCTGCAGGCTAAGTCCCCCGCAACTACCCTCCCTCCCCTGCAATCCCGTTCACTCCCAACTGCCCTCCCCTGTCAGCCTGATTATCCCCACTGCCCTCCCCTGCCAACCTGGTTGCCCCTAACTTCTCTCCCCTGCAGGCCCTGTTGTCCCCAACTGTCCTCTCCTGTAGGCCTGGTTGCTCCCAACTGCCCTCCCCTGCTGGCCTGATCATCCCTAACTACCCTCCCCTGTTGGCCTGATCGCCTACAACTGCCCTCCCCTGCTGGCCATCTTATGGCAGTCATCTTGTGCAAGGGCGTGATGGTCAATTTGAATATTACCTCTTTATTATATAGGACACACACACACACTTTGTGTGTGTGTGTGTGTGTGTGTGTGTGTGTGTGTGTGTGTGTGTGTTGGCCTGATTGGGGGGAATAAAAACAAGAACACAAGATAAAAATACATTTTCCGTGAAAAAAGGCCTTAGGACTTATAGCCCAGAAATTACGATTTGAGCAATGTAATGATCTTGATAAATGGGGCCTTATGGGTTGAAGGGGTTTGTGATGGGCCCCTGCTGTAATCACAAGGGAAGCCTTTCTTGTTTACTTAACAAAACCTTATTCTTGCAGGCCCATCCCTAACATAAATATATGATGCTACTTATGCCACTGACACACACTTTCCCCGCCCCTCCCCCCCCCTTTTTTTTTTAAATGTCTTGCTACTAATTTGACTGTGTACTTTGGTTTAGGTCTTTGTTTCTTGTCATGTTATTACTTGGTAAACTAAGAAATGTTAAAACTGAATCAAAATTCATATACAGTTTTAGTTCTGGCAGGCTTAATTAGTAGTAGAAGATGCTGTCCATATATATGTACTGAATAACTAACTTTAGCATTTTTCTCATGTATTCAGTGGTGATATGTGGTAATAAAATACATTTTTTGATATGTGTTAATAAAATACATTTTTTCCAACATCTGATTTTGCTTTAGCATCAAGTGTTATTTTTCAATTTTACATGACAAAGAGAACAAGTATTGTGCAACCCACAGAATTTTTACATATACAGTTAAGACTTTATTATGAGCTTCTTACTAGAGAAAAAGCTCTCACGAAAGCGTTCAGATAGAATTTTATCCCATTTATAGTATCATTAAAATTTATTATACCTGTTGCTTAAAATTTTAAAGGAAAATTGTTTGGTTTCTTCTTTTGTTCTAAAATGATCTTATTAATATTAAACTTTATATTCTTCTAGCATTTACTTCAAAACTTATTCTATTAGAAATATATTTTTATTGGTTTTACTGGAATCTGAGTCATTGATAAAGTTAGTGTATAATTAAATCATTTTTGCTCAGCAAGTCATAAAAATTGACTTATCTATACAGACCCATATCTGATTTAATTAAAAAAGACTTCATTAACACAGGTATGAGTTTATTAATGACACTGCCATTTTTTTTTAGAGCTTTCCAGGTAATTCTGTTGTATAAGTATTGAAAGATTGATTTTAATTTTGAACATGTTTACATAATATTTTTGATAAAGCTGGTGCCTAAAATTAAGAAAACATTATTTGATAAAGTATTCTGTTTATATTCTGCATATACTCTCCGTCCTTTTTATAAGTATGGATATTTCATGAACAATACATATAGTATTTTGGGCAAGTATAAAAGCAATGAGAAAAATGGTATAAAGAAAATGATAGACATTAAATTATTTTTCTAAGCCCAATGCAAACATAATAAAACATTTATTTTCATTTATTAGTGAAAGAATAATATAATTTTACTGACTGTTCATTTCTATAAATTCTGAAATTATAGGTTTAAAAATAGTTTTGTATTTA